TATTGCGATAAATATCACGCGAAAATTAATGTGAAGAAGGAAATAAGGATGGTTGTTGTGTGTGTCTAGTTTAATGCCACGACTTGAGAAAATGTGCGACGATCAATAAGCATATTTATTCCATTCATTATTATAATTAGTTGAATTTTTCAATTAATTTTTCTGCGATCTAAAATACGTTTTATTTATTTTTATTTAACCATAGCAAAAAATTATTGGTCGTTTCGCAAAGTGTACTTGTATAAAATTTGACATAGAGCGCTTTGGAAAATTTAGGATTCAGTAATGGCGCCGAGAATCAATGACTTACATTAGTATACATACATATGTATATTTATTACATTATACGATCGAATATAGATTTTGATAAAAAGTGTTATGAAAAAAAAAAAAAGGTAAGAGTATATAAAAATAAATAATATTATTTAAACTCTTTTATAAGAAGATACTCAGTAAGAAACTATTCTACAAATTATTTCTATCATTAAACTCATCAACTATTACTCGTCTGGCCTATCATTTTACCAAGCTTACAATGACAATCCCTCTTAATTAAGTACTCGAATCAATCGAAGAAGAATCGATTTACATTTTCCCGTAATTCGTATCGTTAAAGGATATCTATTCCGTTAGCGAGAACGTGCAATTATCGTCAGAAGGGTGATAGCACCCAATCGTAAAATCGGATTTACCTAGGATCATTCGTCCCTGACGAACAACCACTTCTGCCTCAAACAAAGAGTTGATAATCTTTCAATACTTTTCATATATTCGAATTATCGTGCTTTATTAAAGCTAAACAATAAATCAGTATGATAAAATATGTTGAAATTAAATATCTACCTTGGCGTTACTCAGAAATTTTTGCACGCATACACACACGCACACACACGCAGAGAGCAGATATATACACACGTATATATATATATATATATATATACAAATGCATATTAGCGTTGTATCTCTTACTGAGTTCTTCCATAAGCAGCGTGCATGAAACTACAGAGTGGAACTAGCGTGGTTTGCTTTACAACAGATATCCGGACTGATTCATATTCACTTTATCGCTTAATATAATCTTATAAGTTTCCTTTTTTTTTTACGTATGATTATTTTTACGTATATATTTAAGTATAATACTGAACATAACATAGTAAGAATTTTCCTGACAATTCGATTTCGAAAAAGCTTTAAATAACATCAACGATATTATATTTTTTCTTATTTTTAAATTAGATCATAATAATTATTTGAATGATTTCATATCTGTAAATAATAGAGTCGACGTCATAGCACACATATAAAGATAAGCTTGATATCGAATACCTACTATATCTAGTCTACTTACTAGTAGACGTATAATCGATCGCAACACCGTTGCGAAAGCTAGGATCTTGCCTGTAGTGAGAGCAGTCAAAGTAAGCTTGTCGAGAATACATTAGTTGAAGAAACTTTGATCTTGCCTGAATATTACGTATGTACATATGTAGTAAATTTCTACGGGTACCCTGATCTTTCGACTATATTATTTCGATTACTAATATAACAATGGAAATAAAATAATGAGATAAGAAGAAAAGATAAAATTGTTCGATTAAAATGATCTTCTTCGGTGGCAAGGACGCGTAGAATATATTTTACAACAACAAAATGTTGAAACCTATAAAAACAAAAGGAAGGGTACGTACCATATATGTATAAAATAAAAAAAGAGAGAGAGAGAGAGAAAGAGAAAAGCATAGTAGATGTACTGTAGAAGGGTTTGTGCTTGGGAAAGACTCGTCCATTCGTGGTGTCTCGACTTCGATTCTCGTCGAGCAGAGCGTGAAGCGCGATAACCCGAGTCCGTGTAAAGTAAAAGAAGAAGATAGTTGTTGGATAGAAAGAGGGATGAGGAGAATGGGCGGAAGGAGGACGGAAGAAGAGAAGAGGTGAAGGAAGGAAAAAGAGGAGGGGACGAGAAGGAGGTTCGAAAGCGCGATTTAAAGCCGAGGACACGTGCGTGCGTGCGTTTATACCGAACGAACGCGAGTCGTATTTTCTACGATCGACGTTCGCGCCCGCGCGCACGTATGCACGCATGGAAAAAGACAGAAAAAAAGAAAGAAAGAAAGAGAGAGGGAGAAGGAATGAAAGAGAGAGAGAGAGAGAGAGAGAGAGACAAATAGTCGTGTGCGCGCGTGACATTGTGTTTATATGCGGAGGAGGAGAAGAGAAGGGTAAAGAAGGAAAGAAAAAAGGAAGGAAGGAGGTTAGAAGGAATGGTGGGGGATGAGTTAAGAGTGGGGAGAAGAAAAACAAGGAAGAATCGAAAGGTGCAGCCAGCACTCGCAGGTGCCGCACCGTCAAATGCACGGTGACATCCCTTCCGTGCATCCCTTCTTTCTTTCTCTCTTTCCTTCCCTCTCTCTTTCTTTTTTTACCCCTTTTTCTCGGCTCTTCTTCGTTATTATCTTTTCATCGATTCCGAATAGACTGAAAATGAAAGATGTTTCTTTTTTTTTGTTTGGAGCGATCCTTGCAATCTTTCGTGAAAAAAGGAATGGGAATAAAGTAGGAGTAGGATTGTCTCAGGCTTGATTTTAAATCGAAAGAAAGGAAAATAAGAATGAAAAAGGAGAGCGGAAAAATGTTGCAAGGTACCAACACAACGGCCATCATTAGGACACAGAGAGAAAGTTGATTTCGCGAGATTTTGCCAAAAAAAAGAAAAGAAAAAAGAATTAACTACGGGACGCAATAAAGGGGAACGCATAATTTTGAATATGGGATGATAAAAACGATACGTTATTCTTTCTTACGTACTAACTTATTTTAATTACTTATAATATACTTACTTATTTACTTACTTACGAGCAAGCAAGCGAGCGAGCGAGCGAGAGAATATGGGAGACGAGCCAGCAGATAGAAGAAGACGGATAAAAGAGGGAAAACAAAGAGTACGTGTAATGTATATACATATGTATTTATATATGCGTATGTATACGTGTGAGAAAAAGAGAAAGAAACACAAACAGCAGCAGAGGAGAGACATATGATAGAGCCATACATATATATATATATATATATAGAGAGAGAGAGAGAGATAGATAAAATAGATAGATAGGTAGATAAAAAAAAAAGGAAAAAGGAAAGAGAGCATGGCGCGTGTTAAATGTTGCTTGGGATATCTCCTACCTTCTTTTTCACCGAGATAATCTGGGCTTTAGTAGTGGCGGCGTCATAGCTGAATTTTCGCTTATTTAGCAAAAACAAAGACTACGACGACGACGACGACGACGACGTCAATGTCAATCACTATGACTATGATGATGACGACGACGACGACGACGACGACGACGACAACGACAATGATGATGATGATGACGACGAAGACGAGGACGACGGCGACAACGACGACGACGATGGTCGGCGATGGCCGAACAGCTCGTGCAGCTCAGCCACTGGTTACACTGAGGTCGCTCCATGTCTCTCACTCGACCGGAGGAGGCACGACCTCGCGTCTCCGACCCCGCCCATCGTCGTGAAATCGTGCGATAGAAGCAAAACAGACACGGCGACGGCAACGACGACGACGACGAGGACGACGACAACGACAACTACAACGATGCCGAAGACGACGAATGACAACGAACAACAACGACGATGATGATTACGATTACGAATATTTTATATATCGACCGAGAAAAATATATTTAACATTCTTGAAACTCTTAAAAGAAAGTTACGATTTTAAAGTACCCCCCTTCCGATCGTCTTTATGTCCGTCTCGTAGACTCAACGAATCTCTTTCTCGTTTCGGTACTCTCGTTCCCCCTCCTAACCTCCTCGGCGACGAACCATCTTTTATCGGACATTCTCCTTTTTCCCTCTCTCTAACACTCTTTCTCTTTCTCTCTCTTTCTCTATATATATTTATATATATGTATATATATATCTTTCTCTCTGTTGCTCTCATTCTTTTGCTTTTCCTATCTTCGCTCACTCTTCATCTCTTTCTCGCTCCTGACGTTACCTATCGTACGTAACTTGTGTATTGTAGATGGCATCACTTATTGGGTAACCGACAAACTTTTCTATTGACTGAGCTAAAAATCAATTAGTTGTATTGAGGATAAGGTAGGGATCTTATACGAGTTTTATATTATTTTTTTTATATTTTTTTTTGTTTAAATCAAAAACAATTATATGTATATTGTATTCAATTTGTGTATATGTTTATTATATATATATATATATATATATATATATATATGTATGGCTCTATCATATGTCTCTCCTCTGCTGCTGTTTGTGTTTCTTTCTCTTTTTCTCACACGTATACATANTATATATATATATATATATATATAAAAGTATGATTATTAGTAATAATCTAAGAAAAATAACTATTAAAAGTGTTTTGTTGTTTTTTTTTTTCAAGTTTTTCTTAAGCATTATATTTCATACTAGGGGAAAAGATTAATTAAGAAAAAAGATGTAAAGAAATGGTTTAAAACATCGACGATTAATAGTATATATATACATATGTATACGTTTTGGTATTTCTAAGCCTTTGGCAATACGATTAATACTTGGAGAGTGAATCCAAGTGAATCTCATTAAAATAAGGAGAACAAAGGTATACGAGTTTCGATCAAGCTCTACGAACGGTAGCGCCTCGAGTCATTCAGCCAATCAACGCGATTAAACATTTGGATCGTTAGAGCAACACAAAGCATCAGCGACTGGTTGAACGATTATCGTGATAATATAAAACGTTTGATTAATGTTTCGAATAAAGAAAATGAAGACAAATTAGATAGAAACTGTTTTAAAATAAAAATCTTAACAATAAATAAATTTTTAGTTCGTTTAATAAATGCGCATGCTCAGGAAACAGTAAGCTTGATTTTGATTGGTTGAATCGATGACAAATAATATGCTTTCGCTTCGAGTATTTCATTGGTCGTACTAAAACCCGTAGAACTTCTCGCTTGTAATTCGCCGATAAGTTCAACAAGGAGTGGGGGGAGCATCACTGATCCCTTGGTTAAGATCTCTTTGGCTCACACAGTAGTAAATATCGTCGGGAGAAGACGGCAGAACGCGAAAAAGAGCAAGATTTGAGCTTGCGATAGAAGGATTTTCTGTGATCGAAATAGTAAAAGAAGAGAACTGTTTGCAGAAGCAGAAACGTAGGCAAGCAAGTTTTGTTTTTAATTTCGAAGTTTGAAATCGAAAAAGGAAGATCAATGAGATTTTAGTGTGTTGTTTTATCATCGTGGAAAAAAAAAGAACCAAAAATATATATATATATATAAATAAAAAAAATAAAAAAAAAAAAAAAAAAAAAAAAAAACAAAAAAAAAAAATTTAAAAAAAGAAGAAGACTTGACATACTTTTTTTTCCGACGTATTAAACATTTGGGACGGACGCGTATATCAGCGGACAATTACGAGTAACGTCGTTGTCCGTCGCTTTAAAACGCCTTTAAAAGGTTAAAAAGGTGAAAATACAGCGATAGACGTACGTAATTAACCCGCTAGGCAACGATTTTGTCCTACATCTATATCTCATCGTGATATCTTTCGAGAGATACGCGAATTATTTTGTCGTTGAGGAATAAAAGGAAAAGGAAGTGGAGAATAAGAAGAAGAAGAAAAATCCTGTTTAACTTTGACGAATAAAGTGCATTGGGGAAAAAAAAAAGAGAAAAAAAAAAAAAAACCATTGTCGACTAGGATTACTAAAATCTCGTTGTCGGTTTTGTTGGGAAGGTTTCATTTCTGCGACGTTGTCTGTCTGTCTGGCTGTGCGTGTTTCGCGAAAACAAACAAGTCGCGTTCGCCATTTTGCGCTTCTCCAGCTGCGATTCGTGGAAGTGGAAGTGGAAGTGGAAGTGGGAGTAAAGTAGGAGGAATAGGTGGAGAGGAGAGAAAGAAGAGAGTTAGCACAAGAGAGAAGAGAAAATAATAAATATTCCCTTGTGTTATTTTGGTTGTTTCATTGAGAGGGGTGGATAAAGGAGATCGAAAAGTTTAGTGGTTGAAAAGGTGACCGACGGTCACCGAATGTGGCCAAATTCGCAAAGAACGCGAAAAGGGAGGACCGCGAAGGAACTCGAAACAACCAGGCCGAGGTAGCATAAAGTTAAACGGAAACTTCCCAGGGTGCCCCACTACAAGCATCACCAACTACCGCACACTACTACTACTACTACTACTACACTATAATAATAATAATACTATTTACTACACTAGCATTAAACGTCAGCTATACGTACTAGATCCACCACACATCGTCACGTTTGTTACGCCGCGCGTTTACCCCGACCGATCCTCCTTACCCCCTTTGCCCTGGATACAAAGTTATTGCGCAGTTAGAAAAATCACTGGACACAGACGCTACAGAAGAGGAAGAGAGGAGAAATAAATACACTAGCACGACTGCTGCCTGCCTGCGTTTGTTGCTTGCTTGCTTTTATTTACTTGCTTTCACCTCGGATGGAGAAGCGTCCCGCGATAAACTAGAAACGGTAAGTTATAATATATTATTACCATAAATCCCCTTACTTATTTCTTTTCTTTATTATCCAGATCATTTTTCATTATTTGTCATCGATTTACATTTATCGAAAGAAATAATAAGCTGCGTTATCGTCTCTTAGTTACTTTTTAAAGTCTTTCTTAAAGTATTTCATTGTCATCTTTTTCTTTTTTTTTGTATTAATATGAGTGAAGCACAACCTGCGCGGATTTGCGGATCGCGTTCATTAATTTTTAGAGTATCAATGGACTCAAAAAAAAGTCGTCACAATGTTTTGACTGTAGCTTATTTTATCTTTGTCCTTTTAAAAAAATCACGAACAATTTTATAATGCGACTCCGTAGCTCAAATCAGAATTTTTGTATGTGATCTTTTATAATTGAAAGGTTGTGCATCGCTGCTTTATAATATTTATTTCATTAACGAACTATTTCTTGTTTATTTCGTTAAAATATTTTAAATAGAATTTAACACTATTTCTATCAAACGGGTGTCAAAGATTTCTAATTATTCTCCAAGTTTAATTATTTCTCCGTAACTAATTTCTTTTTTTTATTTTTCACACAATAGTTGTTGAATTAATTCACAGTGATATCATTTAGATAAAAAAAAAAAGACACCTTTCTTGTTGAAATAAATGTACACAAAATCACACATAGAAATAGTGTTAATTAAAATGCGTTACAGAGATAAATATATGTTTTTGTAAATTATTTGTAATAAGATATATTTTAGAGCCTTAATAATTCGTTTCTTAGACGGGTCCAGAGAAAGTATTAAAGAGAGAGAGAGAGAGAGAAAGAACGAACGAACGAAAGAAAGAGAGAGAGCGAGAGAGAAAGAAAGAGAGTGTGAGAAGAGGATATAAAAAAAAGAAGTTTATCATCTTGTCTGGTCAACATCTACTATCAAAACCATGACAAATTCAGGACCAAAACTGAACAACAAGCTCGAGCGTCAGGGTTCCCCTAACACGGGTGGAAAGAAGCATTATCGTTCTAATCCAATGAAATCATCACCGTTCCATTATAACACCGGTGGACGTTTTGGTAAAAATGGTACGAACAACAACAGCAGCTGCAGCACGGGTAGACTTAGTTGCAGTCCAATCTGTACTGGAAAAAGTTCGAGAAATTCGCCGTTGCGACATGACAGTAGCAGTCAAAGGGGTAGTCCGACCAACAACTTTTACGCTGGTGCCAAGTTTTCGGAACCTCCATCACCGGCCAGTCTTCCTAAACCACCCAGTCATTGGACCAAAAACACTCTCATGACTAGTTGCCAGGAATCTGAAAGGCGACTACAATCAGCATCGTCAAATCATCTGAAGATGATATTAAACGTCCAAGCCTGATATCCAAAGATCCATGGACCGCCGGAGACGGTCGTCGTCTATCGCGGCTCCCAGCGGGAGAGGCAGCTAAGATATCATCATCAGAATCATCATCATAATCATCATCATCGTCGTAATCATAATCATCATTATTATCATCACCATCATCATCATCATTGCCATCGACGTCATTACAATCATCATCATCGTCATCATCGTTATCATCATATTCATCATAATCATCATCATCATCGTCCTTCCTCATCATCGGGCTATGGACAATATGTTCGCGCGTGCGGCCTCGAGCTGGTCGTTTAAAAACCGTGAGTAAGAAAAACAGACGAGACGATTTATTATTATTAACAATCTTCAGCATCCCAGTGTATGTATGTGTAATATGTATATTATCACGAATCGTAATGATACATATATATATATATTTATATATATGCATATATATAAATATGTATATGAATATCTCTATACAATGTACAATGGTACACGTGCACGCGAGCGATTATTCGCTACTTTTCATTGATAAGATGAGGGTATAAGAAGGTTTAGATGGGAATGCAGATAAGTTTTGAGGAAGGAAATAAGAAAGAAAGAGCATTTATAAAGAGAAAGAAATAAACGGACAAATTTTAAGCATAATATAAATATATATATGTATATAAATAGGTATATATATATATATATGTATATAACTCTTTCTTCCTTACTTTCTTTCTCTTTTAAGACGAGAAAAGAGAAAGTTTATCTCGTTGGTGATAAATGTGTATGTGGGCCATTCGTTTGTTCTCTCCTCTCTTACTGTAGGGTGATTAGATTTTACATATATACATATAGAGACAGACACACACACACACATTTCTCAACATAAATACGCATGCATGAATATGTGTGTGCGTGTGTGTGTATATATATATGTATAAATAATATACGGACTAATTAGAAATATATTTCTTCGAACGGCGGTAGATTCATCAAGTAAACTCGATGAATTGAATGTTTTCCTCAACGCGCGATTAAAACAAACAAAAATTCTTTATTCGCGAAAAAAGAGGATGATTTATTAGGAACGTTTAACGATTCTATTATTATGCGCCGTCTTTGTTAAGATATAAACTTATTGTATTTTAGATTAAACTCGTATATGATTAAAACTCGATAACGAGAAGAAAACTCGTACCTAAGGAGATACGTATCCACACAAAGAAAGATATACACATACGTTCTATAGTTATATTTAACGTTTACGCGCATAATGAAAATTAATGATTTTTCTCCGTGCACACGATCGATCAATGGGCATCGCAAACGGAGAAAATATATACGAGAAACAAGTACGAGTTTAAAAACGGGTTAAGCTGCACTTTTTGCTTTTTTTTGTTATATATATATATATATATATATATATATATTTTTTTTTTCTTTTTCTTGTTTTAATCTTTGTTTTCGAATTTCTATTATATAAAAGATCGAAATTTTTATGGTTATTTTTTTTCGTAATTAATGCTTAAAATATTCGCAAATTATTGTCGTTTCTTTTTTTTCTATCGTTCTCAAGTACACAACACACACACGCGAGTATATACATATACATATACAAACCGGTTCCAAAAACTTTTGAATGAAGGAGAAAAATGACAGATTAATTGTTTCTTTCCCATTTTAATCGTCCCACGTATAATTCATTTTATTTTTACGAGAAAGTTATATCCACGTAAGTGTTACGATCCAATTAAAACAATCTAATCGTTTGGATTTTTCTTATTGTGATATCTAATTGTTGTATCGTCAAAAATAAGTATATATGGATTGTTTAACAAATAGTTTACTATCGTGGATGTTTCTTCGTTTATATTATTTGTCTAACTGATACACGTATACGTAAGAATATATATTTAGCGTATACGTTTATCATTGTTTTAATCAAAGATAAAAAGATAATTATTTTTTTTCTGTTTATTTTCTTTTTTTTTTTTTCATTTACGTTTATCACTTTTTCGCAAAGATATTTTTATTTTTTTTTTCGAACTTTGATAGATCATTATATCGCGAAAAAAAAAAGCGAATAAGATTTCATCAGATGAGTTTTCTAAAATGGGGAAAATAACGGGGGAATAGTGAGATTAATATTAGAAATATCAAGGTTATGCATATATTATGTAAATGGGATTTAATTAATAATGAGGGATTTGGATAAATCAATATTGGCAACAAAATAAATACAGAAATACGTTATCTTAAACGTTTTACGAATGAGAACGGTTTCAAATATTAAATCAATTTATGCATCTTTTTTGTCACTTCACAAAAATCCACTTAGCTTTTTAAATTAAATTTCAAAAAATCTCTTCACTTATACATTTGGCCGCGAAAATAAAACAGAGAGATTATGAGAGTATTTTTGTTTGTTTGTTTGTTTTCTTCTCCTCTATTTTGTTTTATTTTGAATAACGCAAAATGTAATGTATGTGAAATAAGGGTAATCGGTACCAATTTATATAGATTCAAATTTGATATTAATTTATTCGAAATAAATAGAAAGAAAAGAGTTATATCTCAAAACGTGAACAAATTATGATTGGTTTAATCTCAATAGAATCTTCGCCAATTCGCTTATTTTTCTATTCTAAATAAGATATTTATCAAGATAATATTTAATTCTAAGTCAGAGCCTATTAAATGCATTTTTTTTTTTTCTATTTTATCGCATTACATATGTATATACATATGCAGATGCACGCTCATACACACGTACGTACATACATAATTGCTTGACGATAAAACGACAAATTTTTTAATGAAATATCCAATGATATTACGTAAAAAAACCGTTATATGTGCGTTTATATGACGTATCATCTAGATTCTATTCTTCTCCCTGAAATTTTTTCTTTTTTTTTTTTTCCTTTTCATTTTTGTTTCATTTTTTTTTTGTTTGCCATAAGATTATTTTTTATTTTATTTATATATGTATAAGAAAAAAAGTATAAAATTCTTTTCGTTTCTTTTCTTCAGATATAAATGAGAGAATGATGATAATTATGATTTCAATTATTGGAACCGGTTAAGAAATTTTTATCGTAATATTTTTTAAGTGCATTATATATAATTTTGGGGTAAAAAAAATGTCTAATTTTAAGTTTAAAAACGCATTTATATTTCACCGAAATACGTCCGCAATTTAAACAACGTTGGCATATTTCTTCTTTTCATTTCTTTTCATTTCTTTTCTTTTCTTTTCTTTTTCTTTTTCTTCATTTTCTTCTTACGATAATTTTCTTTCTTTAAATACTTTTCCTAACTTCTAATATATCATATATTAGGCTTAGGGTGAGCTGCCAAATAATGAATTATGTATAGTCAACAATATATTGAATCGTTCGTATGTTTTCTTTAAATGTTTGCAACAAGAATAATACGAATGAATTATTGAATGAATTTAATGAATGATTCATTGATCGAAAGAAAATAGTATGAATGTAAAAGAGATTAAAGAAGAGGATAGAAAAATTCGTATAAACGTGCAATTTCGAGAACGCTATAAATATGATTCTTTATTTTGGATTAGCTTAGTAAGTATAGAGAATTTTTAAAAAAAAAAAAAAAAAAGATAGTATCTATAGTATTTTATTATCACGCATCAGAAAGTGGTATGATTGAAATTATTTTAATATATATGTATATACACACATATATATATATATTTTCTTTTTTTTTGAGTTTCGTTAACTCCCTTATGTTTTCTTTTTTTTTTTATGAAATAAGGTCAGAAACATTTCATTTCTACTAGTCCGTCTATCGATTTTCGTCAAGGGTTAATACTTTAGTGTCGTTTCTCTTTTTTTCTTCTTTCTCGGTTTAGTTTAACATATAATATAACACACGTATACCACAAATATATGCACAACATATATTGTACATATTTTTATGTATAATATGTATATATATGTATATATATATATGACTGGTGATTCGCAACGGACTCGAAAGAAAAGAAAAAAGTTTATGGAAGTTTCGAATGCAGGCAGTTCAGAGAAAGTGCACCGGACTTGTTTCTTTTTACACTTTCGTAATTTGTTGTGTGTCGCCTGTATATATACATATTATATATAATATATATATGTATGCATATACGTGAACGCACCAGAAGTACATACACACAAAATTCACACACATACATATATATATATATATATAAATACATACACACACATCAGACACCAGTTGTAAATATATACAAAAATTAACAAACAAAATACTGTTACCTTGAAATCGATCGTTTTTTTTTTTATATACAAAGGATCGATGATCTCTTTAAAATGACACGAAACTAAGTTTATATAGGAAACGAACAAACTTTAACGCCATATCTGACAAATTTTTCCCCCCGTAATAATTAATGATCATTGAAAAAAATCTTCTTATTAAACAAAAAACAATAATTCCCCCCTTGACCCTGTACGTACCCCCAATTCGTTAAGCATTAATTTCTCATTGTTGATGTTTACAATAATAATATATCACATTATTTGATTTATAGTACTTATTTTCAATTAGGATAATTCGATGGATGGTTACACGAAGCAAACAAAAACAATCTTCTCCTTCCTTTTTACAAAAAAAAAAAAAAATCAAAATTATTATTAATATATAGTTGGGAAAAATTAATCTCTACGTGTAATTGTTATATTATCATTGCGATCAAAATAAATAAAGAAGGGAGGGAGGAGAGAAAGAGACGGAGATAAAGAATAAAGAGAGAGAGAGAGAGAGAGAGAGAAAATAGATACGAATTAAAGAAAAAAACCAAAAATAATCGATGCGCGAGTTATTCGACGATAAAAGTGAAATATACAAAAGAAAAAAAAAAGATAGTCATTAATAAACTAATAATAACGTGCTGCTCTCGACGGAAAACGAAATCATCATCGTACTCGTTCGAAAGAGATTTTTCGTTTTTCGAACGAAACGAATGAGAATAATAAACGAAATAAATATAATGATGATGATAATAATAATAATGATGATGGTTATGGTGATGCGTAACGAGAGGGGAAAAGCTGCGCGAACGCGGCCCGA